ATCCATCCATCCATCCATCCATCCATCCATCCATCCATCCTTCTTTCTTCTTCCTTTCTTCCTCCCTCCGGGGCATCAGGGAGGGTCCAAAAATTCAAGATAGCAGCCATGACTAGGCAATCAAAGCTCCATGCATGAGATACATAAATATGGGGCACATTTTTGATTGCACAATTGTAACTTTCTTGACCAGCCCCGTGGGACCTCCCCGAAATCTCACCTTGCTGCAAGAGGCTCCCAGAAACTCCCCTAAAACAGTTTGGGAGCCACATGTCAAGGAAACCTAGGATTATCACCTCCAGCTTCCACCAAGGTGCCGCTTAACTCTGCCCAAGACATTGACTGTGACCCTCTGCCGTGCTGGCTTCCCATCCACCGCTCAGTTTGTACTAATTCGTACAGGTGGCGGAGTTCATCTCCGCCCATTGACGAATGCAAGGCACTTGGGTGCAGAGCTTTTGTTCTCTTTCCGAGCACTGAGTTGGCCGTAATGGGAGCTTGCAAAGCGCTGGAGCGGATGAGTGGGGGAAAGATGCGGTTCTGAAGAGCTTCAGAGCCACAGCGAGTGGGACGACTACGCATTTCACCAGAGGTTACCCTGATGCCTGCCATCATCTCTAGATTGTGTGCTTTGCTTGGAGTCCTTTGCCATCGCAATGTATCTCGCTGTAATAAGTGGCTGATACATAGAGCAAGAAGACGAAAACCAAGGTTCTCTGCTCACCGTTCGCATCTCCATAGAAACTGACCGAGTTAGACATTAAAATGTAGCTGTAAAAGAATTGCTAATACAAGGCCAGAGGAAACATTTTATCTTCCCTGTTAATGTACAAAATACTTCACGATCGGTTTCATTTGTCTCGACAAAAGTCAAGCTGGGCTCGCTGCCTTTTCCAGCAAGATAGGACCCCCCCCCCCCCCCTCGCTACAGCTGAACACATCTCTTGTTACCAAGGCCAAACCCTGTGCTTGGCCTCCTGACTTACGGAGGAGATGCTGAGTCGCTGAACGACTGCCGTTGGTATGAGAGCTCCCTTTTGGGTTAGAAAAAGCATCCCCGTTGCATTGTCTAGCTAACCTGATAGGCTAGTTTTCGGTGTTGGGGGAACATTCATTTCTTCCTTATGGGGTTTCTCTCCCACTTTTCATTCATGAGGTCAGGATGGGGTCCCTAGCGCTCCCTCTTGGGATTTTTCCCCACAAGAGCAACCCTCGCAGATAGGTTGGGTTGGGAAAGAGGGACTGGCCCAGTCACCCAGTGTGCTTCTCTGGCTGAGAGTGGACTTCAACCTGGGTCTCCCCTGTGGAGGTCCAGTATCTTTACTACTGCATCATGTTGGCTGTCTAAGGCAATTGCTTTCTTGCCTATACATATCTGTATTTATATAGATGTATACGTCATTCCCTCTGCCAATTTACCCTAAAACAGCCCTGTGATGTCAGCTGGGCTGTGGGGAAATTATTGGCCCAAAGTCACCCATAGAACTTCCATGGTTGAGGATAAACTAAAACCCATGTGTCCCCACCCTTAATCCAACACTCACAACATTGCACCCCACTGGAGCTCAGTTTACGTTATTTCTGTACTGCCAACTCCCCAAAGACTCCTGGTAGTTTATGGAAATTGACCATAAAGCCCATTAAAAAAAATAAAAAAACATAAACCATAAAAACATTCAAAACTTCTCCATCCTTGACCACCAACCCCATCCAATTACTTCCTTCTTCCTCATTCTTTAAAGGCCACATAAAAGAATTCTGTTTTCGGAGCTCTCCAAAGGGTTACTGTGGATAGCTTCATTAAGATCTCTGGAGGAAAGGTGTTCCAGAGTAGAAATATCAGAAGTATCAAGTTTAAGCCCCTTCCTTTGATTTCAGTGAGGGGGGGCTCTCAGCAACCCATTCTGGCCAAACAATCTGGGCGGGTCTGTTCTACTTGAAGCAGGTGATCCCCAGACACGTAGGTGTCAAGCCATATTGTTGCGTTAAAGCCACAATTTTGAATTGTACTTGGAAGCTTGTTTATAGCTGTTGCAGCACTGACAAAACTGGCTTTTCATATTATAGTGAATGTTCTTAGCCATCAGCAGATCAGCATCAACTGGAACCCTCCTAATTGGGCCTTCCACCTTGAAGCTGTCAATAACACTGAGTGTCAAAGCAACTAGGATGTAATCTGAACATCACAAAGGGCTCACCCTCTTGTCCTCTAATCTCAGATCACCTGCCACCTGCTCATGCATGAATGCCAGAACCACTGTATGGCTACCTTGGTGTAGGGGGCCAGACTTATTTGGGACAAGCCCATGGTGGCCATGAACTCCTGAATGTCTCTGGAACCCATCCCAAGAGCAGATAGAGTACTCCAAAAGCCAAGAGTAGTCCACCATCAGTTCCAAGAAATCAGGACATGTCCTGGCTATTCAGCAAGGTAGGCTGTGCACAAGCAGGATCCCTAGCTTGTCTCTCTGACCCAGCATCATGAACAGGCATTCACCGCCTATCACCTCTAGAGCAGAACCCAACCACTGCAAGATCATCACCATCCCACCTGTCCTATCCTGGGATTGTGGCTTGTGCAGGACCCGAAACCTGGTTGTTTCACCACTCTTCTGTAGAGAGTTCTCAGTAACATCTACCAGATCTGCACACGCATTGAAGTCATGAACAAAAATTGTCATTTTGTACAGACCTGGCAGTTACCTTACAGACCTGGTGTTGATTAACTAAGGTAAAGCCATCTACGGACAAATTTGTCTTTCAGCTAGCTTCTGTAGCTTTACCTGTGCTACTAACCCCAGACTTTAAGAGACTGAGTGGGTGGAAGCTGTACAGTGAGAGATCCAAACTTGAAATAAGGGGGAATGTCCTCACGGTGAATGCTAATAAGCACTGGAATAGCCTGCTTTCTGAAGTTGTGGGTGCAAATAAGGGTCCCGTCCTCATCACTGGAAGGTTTCAAGAAAAAATTGAAGAATTCTTTGTCCAGGATGGCATGAGGATCCCTGCGCTGGGCAGAGGCTTGAACTTTTGAACAGAGGCTTTTCTGCCTGGGGAATTCTGGGAGTTGAAGTCCACACATCTTCATCCAAGGTTGAGGAATACTGATATAATGCATAATGTACATTGTGCTGTATAATGACATTTCCCCCCAAATGTTGAGATCTTACAAGGAAAAGGCAGGGGACAAGAGAATCTCATTCTTCCTTTTTCTAGTATGGATGGCGAAAACTATTTGTTACAGGAATAAATACTGGCTCTTTAATAGTTTTCTCATGCCAGAACTCGAGTTGCTAGGGTTGTATGTCCAGGGGTGATTGATAGATTGTATGGAGAAGTTGTGTTCGACTGCCTCAGGACAAAAATGCATCTTCCCCTATTTTCCAAAACTGAGCCTTTTATTTAGTTAAATTACAGCAATGTTTCTCAACCTTCGCAACTTGAAGATGTGTGGACTTCAATTCCCCATGCTGGCTGGGGAATTCTGGGAGTTGAAGTCTACACATCTTCAAGTTGCCAAGGTTGAGACACACTGAATTAGAGGTTAGTAGGTCATTTTGCATGGCAATCTATGTACCTGTAAAGCCTTTTTTTTTTTTTTACATTATATTATATGTCTACTAGCTCTTCCATTTGACAAGTGAATTTTTTTTAGTAGTTCCATCCATGAAATTTAGGAGAATTACTGCAGAGTAACCAAATAGCTTTGTCTTTGGGAGTAAATTCTCAACCATTGTGTTCTCTGTGATTTCTCCTTTGGACTTTTTCCATTATCACATGAAAAGATGAGTTGGCAGGACAATCCCTACTGTGTGGATACAGGACATTTCCCAAGAACCACAGCTTCTTGTTGAAGAGGTCTTCATCTCAAAACTTTATGGAGTATCAGTCAATCCAGCTAAATCTATGAAGTGTTAACATTTCACCTTACAAAGTCTTCCCCAACGTTGAATCCTCCATGTCTGTTGGATACAACACTCAGATTCCTAGTTAGATTGGGAAAAGCATGTGTAGGACTGTTTTTGTTTGCCTGATGACACCCATAAAATTCTCCAGATGCTCCAATTCAGTGGTCTTCTTTATCTTATTTGTAACTGGCATATTTCAAGTGATCATCTCAAGACTTTTCTTCCTTCGGTAGGTTACTTCAAATGATCCACAGTGATCATGAAATAATCTATAAGAGTGGTATTTGTGCCCTAATTCACATGCAGGAGCATTGTCTAGACCAGCTTTTCAGCTGTTGCAGCTTTCAGATGTGAAGATTTCAAGTGCTAGGTTCTCAGTTGGCAGGGTCATTCTGAGAGTTGAAATCACATAACTGGAAGTGTCCAAATTTGGAGAACACTGGCCTAGACTTTAACTCTGTTAATAGTCTTTCCCAACTTAGTGAGCTCCAGATGTTGTTGAATTACAGGTCCTGTTGGGTCCCAGCCAGCATGCAGGCAGGAATTCTAGAGCAAGTGGTACATTTTGTCCTTGAGTGTCCTAGTAGCTGGGGTAACACTCCAAAAAGTAGAGGATTGATGAATCAGGACAAAAACTAGATTTGATTTGATTTAAGGTTATTTTTAATTAAAATTAAATTAATTAATTCCCCCAATCATGTCATTTGAATTTTCTTCCACATTAAAAGTGATAATTTGGTGATAGCTTTTGGAGGTCTCTGGGGACCTCCAATCCTTGTCCTTAAGCTGCACATCTCCCTTGTTAATTAGAAGATCTGGAGAGCATCAGTTGAAAGAGTTCGCTGTCAAACATTTTGTGCTGACAGTCTTTGCCATTGCACATGTGATCAGTCAAACACTTAGGAACACCTATTAATAAAAGCAATATCAGGTTTTTGTATCTGAGTAATGTATTTGGTTATGAGGATAAAATCCTACACAACAGGGGTGGTCTTTATTAACCCATAATATTTCCTTTCTGTTTTAGGTCTACCAACCCTTACTTAAAAGATACATGGAACTTGAGCAGGAAGTGCTGAATAAGCCAAAATAGCATCTTCTAAGAGAATCTATCAATAATGGATTACGTGAAAAGCATACGGAAGAATGAAAGAAACTGGACCCACAATTGTGTGAAACATTCCTTAATTTTGTAATTTAAATTGAACTGTGGAATAAATGCTGCGCTTGTTCTGTTTATCACGGTCCACCACAAGTGGTCCTTCAACATCCATGCACAACTCTAGTGCACTTCAAGCAAAGATTTTGCACAGTTTCAAATTAGCTTTGGACTTACCTGATCAGATGATGTTTGCTCGTTTTGAGAGCTTGGTGTTTTGAAACCAGAGCAAAGCGGTTCCTTTCTTTTTCATTTTTTTTTTCAATTTGCAAGTTCTACAGGCAGATCGTTTGCCTCTCTCGCTCTCCCAGGCTGAACTGAGCTATTCCATTTCAAGGCAGTTGCTAGAAAAAATAAATTTGCAGCCCAACTCAACCCCTGCTGCATTTTAAAGTGGGATTTCTGGAGCCTGACTGCCCTGTATCCCCCACTCCAGGGACAGGCAACTATGGTTAGAAGTATTAGGAAATGTATCTACTGCAAACATACTGTTTTATTGTTATTATATCTTCCCATGCTTTTAAATCCTACTGAGGGATAATGCCAAGGCAGCTTGTACAACTGTAGCTCACCTAACCTCCTACCGTACCAACAGGCAGGAAGCGGAAAGCATTAGCAATTTCTTTAATTTCTAATTTTTTTGAGCGGAGAAGGGATTTTTATTGCTCCTGGAGTTGTAGCAGCTCTGGGTGGGGCAGTGATTGTATGATGCTTTTTAATGCTCTCCTCCTGGCCATTTTGGTGTTGGAGAAGATTCCTGAGAATACCGTGGACAGTCAAGAAAATAAATGGATGGATCATCAAATAAATCAACTCAGAGTTCTCACTCAAGGCATAAATGACCAGATCCAAATTATCCTACTTTGGATTTTTTTTTTTTGGCAATAATTTTAATTGAAGATTTTGATTGCAATAGTAAAAACAAATACAAACTAAAATCTTATAGTAAAAGTCTCAATATTCCAAATTTGTCTGGACCATTAATTTGTCTATAACTTTCTTGGATCAAATAGTCCTATTTCGCTTTTTGCTGTTTATTTCCAATTCCTTAAATACTTAAACTTACAGTTAATTTTTCTTCTGTTCAAGAATGAAGTTACTCACCAGGTGGATTTTCAGACTTATCGTTCCATCTCTAATAGCCCTAATATAGTTAAATAGGCAATTTCCAAAAGTGATTAGAAAGTGAGCTTAGCAAACCCAGTGTTCTTTAAAAGGCTCCGCCATGGTTGTGAGAGTGATCGCTGAGCCTTTCGCCTCCTGGGACTCAATCCCACGGGAGACCGCTGTGCTGCGGTCTCCTCACAAGGAGCAGCTGTCTGGAGCACACGTGGGTCTACTCACTGGTTCTTTGGTCTTTGCTGTGGTCATTGTTTCCACTCTTATGGAGACGTGCTTAGTTTGCCATGCCTCCCCCGGAAGTGAAGTATGAATGATCATTCTTTGGACACATTATGCAAAGACCTAGCTCTGAAGATCTGAAGGACCAGGTTGGGGACAGATTCACTTGGAGAAGGTCCATCTATGTGGTCACTAAGAGTTGACACTGACTTGATAGCAGAAATTAATCAAATAGTGCAAACACCTGGCTCCCTTGAGATGTCCATAATGCTGGGAAAGATGGGACGAAAGAGAAGACGAGGATGACCAGCAGCAAGATGGATGGACTCAATTACAGTGGTGATAGACGCACTGTTTGAAGAGCTGAAGGACCAGGTTATGGACAGATCGTCATGGAGAAAATCTTTGTGGTCACTAAGAGTTGAGACCAACTTGACGCACATAATCAGTTGGCCAACCAGAAGGAGTGCTGATTGGCTTATGTTGATCTCAGAATGTCCTCTGCATTTCGAGGCCAACAGTAAAGAAGACAGCTGTGGCTTAGTTTCAAAGTGTTTGGGAGAGATGTAAAAGTGGTATGGAAATATTATCTTCTTATACACTCTTCTTTTGACCATTCTAGCATTGGGTAGCTGAAAATAACTCATGATGGATCCATCCTGGCATATTCCAGATGCTCAGGAGTTGGAGCTCTAAAAATCCTTAGTCAGCAAATTTGGAACTGAAATCCTGAGACAACTAGAGATCACCAGGTTGAAAAAGTAGAATGACCCACCAAGCCCCAACACAGACCATGTTTGGTGGTCTGATAGAGGCTCAGTAGTCTCTATTTTTTATAGACCTTGATGGCAAAAGCAAAGGAGATTGAAGTCTGGCCTGGTAAGTCACAATTTGTACTGGCCTGCAGTTTATTCTTTCTTCCACCCACAAATTCAAAATCCATCACGTTGACCATCTCGATGTGCTTGTCAAGGCTTAGCTTTAAAAAAGAGCTCATCCGGGCTGTGCCGAATGCATTGCTGAAATGTATTCATCTGATGAGAATCATTTATTTGATCCCATTTCTGTAAATGAAGATCTTTGAGATTCAGACACAGATCCCTCCCCTTTCTTAGAAGCACAGTTCCAGAAGGAGAAAAGGAACGTGTGTTCAGCTGGTGTAAATTTGGATTGAACATGCACCACCGCTAATCAGCTGGGAATTTAGCAGGTCTTTCCAGGATTGTAGTGATGGACTGAAACTGCAATGTGATTTCCTGACTATATTCCTTTCCGTGACCCAGTTTTAAATGAGTTACAATTCAAGTGGCCTGAACCTTCACACCGCCAATGCGAAATAAGCATCAACTTAAATTCCATTGTTCATTCTGATTGTGTTTGGGCAAGGCTAGAATTGAAGTCAAACCTCCAATGGGAGACAGGATCAGGGGGAACTTACCAGCTCATCTCTTGGAATCTGGTTTGAAGCCAGCACTAAGAAAATTTAAGCTTCCTCTAGTCCACAAACCCCAAATTGCTTAATGAAACAATCAAGCTTTGAGAAAAGTAGACGAAATTCGAGGCTTGAAAATTATCAGTAAAACAAGAGGAGCCGGCTTCTTTGCAAGCAAATAATGGCAAAAATGGTAGACTCTTCCTGTCAGACGTATCTCCTGGTGACTCCATGAACACACCTATCCGTGTAGTTTTCTTAGCACCAATAATGCAGAAAAATATTCCTGGGATTTTTTTTAGACTTTTTAAAAACTTTCCAGTCTAGCCTACAATTCTGGGGTCCCCTGGTGGTCTCCCATCCAAATACTAATCAGGCCCAACCACATGTATCTTTCTGGGGATCAGCTGAAATGGGCTTGTGGCTACCACTTAGCTGGGCACGATGCTTCTTAGCATTATGGAAGAAGGTTGGAATTGTGAGATGGCATGCTAAACCATAGTTAGTTCTAGTCATAGGTTGCTAAGTGTCTTGATTGTCTCTGCAGAGTAAGCCACAAACCCAGCTAGCACTTCATTACTCAGTGCAGTGGGTGAACCAGCAGGCTAATGTCTAGCAGCTGGTTGTCAGTTTCGTGATTTCAATTTGTAAAGCACTAGCGAGTTTCCTCCTTGTCTTCGCCTCTTTTCCTTTTTTAAACAAACATTTATTGCCACTGGCAAAGGGGTGGTGGTAAAGAGAACTGAGAGGATGGTCTGCAATTGTGGTCTGATTTAGACATGAACCTCAAAATGGAGTTGCAAGATGCCTCCCTCCCGTGCTCTTTCTCTTTTCAAAAGCATGTCCTTGAAATAAGTAAGTAAGTAAATAAATATCCCCCCCTCTTTCTTTGAGCAATGTGCTTTCTTAAACGCCACTCCATTATGTTCCAAATAAACCTGCATTTCTTTATCTGCCAAGGGGACGTTTAGGAATTGCAATGTTGCAAGAAAATGAAAAAGACTTCACTGTCTTGTTGGACACTGGAGACCTGCTGAAGATGACTTCCACGCCCAGCAAAAGGCTCCTGAACGTGGCTGTGGTACTTGAGATCTCGGATGGGACTTCCACATGCACACGTACGCATTTTGGTGTGGATGTTTTTCGTGGGATGGGGTAGAAGTTGGCCCAGGATCTTTCCGGTTGTGCTGTGAAGCCAGGAGGCTTGCTGGGCGTGGAAGACAACTTCAGCAGGTCTCCAGTGTCCAACAAGACAGTGAAGTCTTTTTCATTTTTTTGCAAGATTGCAACTCCTAAACGTCCCCTTGGCAGATAAAGAAATGCAGGTTTATTTGGAACATAATGGAGTGGCGTTTAAGCAAGCACGTTGCTCAAAGAAAGAGGGTTTGGGTCACAGCAGAATTAACATTTTCCCCTATTTAACTCTCGCATATTTCTTTTACCTTTTGCTCCGTTCCAGTTTTCTGGATCTTGAATACCAAGCTGCAGCCGTTCCCTTTTAACACCGTGGTCCCTGAGACCCACCTCTAATCCATCTGCAAAACGTTTATTGATTCTCCAATAAGCTTGACACAATGAAAAATTATTTTCTTTGCTGCCGAAAGCCCTTGATCATGGAAATGGAAAGTAACCAGTTGGCACTTACTGAAGACGTTTTGCTTTCCAAGGGCTGACAAACTGAAGCTGCAGAGCTGGGGTTCAAGTTTGAGAAGACACGGTTAATCTGGGGACCCCTAATTTGATCTCTGCTGAATCCTCTTCAATTTAACTATTTTTGGGGTGGGGGGAGAGCGCGCATGAGCAGGTCTGCCTGGGATGGAGAGGCTAATGCAGGAGATATTTTAAAACCGATATTGTGGCAAGGATTCTGAAGAGTCGGAACACCTTGAAGGCACCCACCAGAATTGTGAAAGAGAATCTCTTTGCAAGCTAGACTTTTTGCGCGAAACTAGAAAAACATGAACTTTTGATCTGTGGTTTTGATGATTAGAAGATATTAGATGATAGAAAAAAGAGAGCTTGTTTTTGCAACCATAGAGGAAGAGATAATTTTGTAATTATACTTGTATTTGCTGCAAAGGAAATTGGAAGCGTCTTCTTTCTGTTTCTTCTTATCTTTTTGCACCTTTGTTTCTCTTTTTTCCTTTCCTTTCTTTATTTACTTTGTATTAGTTTGGGTTAGGTTTTATCTTCTTTTTAAAACTTTTAACTGTCTGTCTGTCTGTCTGTCTGTCTGTCTGTCTGTCTGTCTGTCTG